TATAGATATAGATATAGATATAGATATAGATATAGATATAGATATAGATATAGATATAGATATAAGAATATACATACATATATATATAAGAATATATATATATATGTATTCTTATTCATACATTTAATATACTCAGGCTTGTCCTGAGCTTGAGTATATATATACATATATATATATATATATATATATTCAAAAGATTAAAGTATACAGCTCATAAGCACTCTGCAGCGTCGGGGTGTATATTCTGCGTTTGTTTATTGCAGCGGCGCTCGACAGAAATTAAAAATAAATTAAATTAAAATTTATGTAAATATGTTTCTTTACTTCTTCTTCAATATCTCTAATATCTCTATTTGCCTGATAAAGATAATAATAATAATAACAATAGTAATAAAATAATAATAATAATAATAATAATATTAAAATAATAAACTAATAATAATAATAATAATTAATCAGAGAGCTGATGCCTTCCTTAATGTATAAACGAAGATAAGCAGAAGAACAGCTCGCCTGTTCAAACAAAAAAACAAAAAATAAAAAACTAAAAAAACAAAAACAAAAATTTTAACACAAAATGCGGATGCTGAAATAAACTGCAGCAGCGACCAACAAATCAAATTTTTGTTTGGGGCAGACAGAGAGGGATATATATATATATATATATATATTATATATATAATATGTATATAATATATATGTATATATTATATATTATATATTTATATATATTTACATATATATATATATACATGTATATGTACATATATATATATATATATTTATATTATAATACAGTGTAGTATATATATATACAATATATAGAACCATACATATACATGCATATATATAGCTATATATATACATATATATATAAGTATATATGCATAATATATATAGATATATGTACATACATATATATATATATACTCTGCTACACCGCTCAGAAGATGAGAAACAGCGAAATAATTTGTTTTTTTTTGCAAGCAGTTGGATCCCCACAATTTCAGCGTTTAATTGCCTGTGTTAAATACTTTAAAAAAAGCTTTATATGTTTAAATAGTTATTTTAAATTAAATATAAATATATTTCTATCGAACCAGACCAAGAAGAAGGAAAGGCAGTTCAAATGCACCCATACAACAGATGCCTATACACTCCAGATGCTCTTTATTCTTTAATGATATTCGTATTTAACTTCATTCGGGCTAAACAAACACCTGCTTTCTCATGTTGCTCAGCAGCAGCAGCTCAGAAAATAATTTATTTAGTAGGAATGTCTGCCTATTGAAGAAGCAGCCAACCCTCTTCACAGTAATAATGCATGCATATGGGGGCTTAGCCACTGGGCGACGTCGCATACACCAGAAAAACCCTCACCCTAAACCCTAAACCCGAAACCCTAAACCCTAAACCCTTAACCCTAACGGAGCAAATAACGAGGGTTTCTTCTCCTGGAGGAAGGATAAGGAAAGGCGAGGGTTTAGGGTTTAGGGTTTAGTATAGCGAAGTAGTGGGGTCGGCTGTAGTTATATCATAGAGGAAATTTGTTATTAAATGCGGGTTAAATGCATGATATACAGTCAGATAAAGTAAATGAAATAAATGCAGTTCAATAAAATAGTCTAAACAAGATATATTAATATTGTATAGTTGTCAGTACAAAAATGCAGAAAAAATATACAAAAGCTTCAATGAAATCATGCCGAGAAAATCAATAGTATACGGAATATAATTGAAATATATGCAATAAACAACTAAATAATACAGAAAAGAAATAGTTAAAATATAATATTGCAAGCAAAAGCATTAAAATGTGCAGGAGATGTTGGTGACCCTCCTTATTAAAACAAATCGAAGCCACTGTCGCCACCCCTAAACGCGGGTAAACTGCCTCAAAAAAGAAGAAACAAAGAAGAAATTATTTGATTTGTAATTTACATTACAGGGAAAAAGTGAAAGAAAGACATTAATAAACAAATACGAGAGATATTTTGCAAAGATAATTTATTTATCAACAGTAGGGGCATCTAAACTGATAGCCTCCGTCGTTAAGTGGCGTATGCGTGGGTTAATTGAGTTATAATTGTAACTCTTTTAATGCATATTTATGCTTATAATAAACAAATATTTATATTTCAATGAAACAAACCTCAAAAAAAGAGGAAGGCGCCCCCGAACTCTACAGACTTGAACCGAAGCTGCACATACAGTCCACTGTGCAGATGCAACAGAAACTCGCAGGTGAATGGGGAGTAAATGACGAAGGGAACGATACAACTAACAGAAATAAACCCGATAATAATGTTGTTTTTAGTTTTTTGATTGATTTCACTCAAAAGAAATATCAAAAACTCAGACGGAAGCGCAGCTTTCCACCTACAAGTCCGCTGGTCTATGCTGGCCACTGCGAAGAACTTTCAGGGGTTTGTAGCGGGAAACTCGAAGATTTTCTGCATTATTTCGGCGTATTAAACAAATTAAAAGGTGAATAATGTCATTCGTTTGTCTTCCTTGCAGATTTCGGGTCCAATTACCTTCAATTTCCCCCTCCAGCCCCCCTACTCCACAGTATTAGACGTTGGTGGCTTTCTGTTTCCTGTTGCTCTATCGCGTAAGACGAATGAATCCTAATAATCCTTTTCAGCATATTCCCTCTTATTTAAGTCAAAATGAATATTCAAATGACGCCTTCCACGCTGACGGGGGCCCCCAGGCCTCGTCTACTACACAACCCCTCCTGAACCCACCACCACAAGGACTGCCCATTGGGGGGCCCCCAAGAGAGCAGCGGCCTCGAAGGAGGCCTCATGAAGCGGATTCATCTGCTGTTTCAGAGGCGTGGGGTGTCGATACACCTGAGCCGGCTTACCCAGCATACAGAGGGAGAGCTGCTTCTGCAGCAGGAAGAGCAGCTCGAGGTGCTGCTATTCCTGTTGCAGCTGCAGGTGGAGGTGCTGCTGCTGCAGCAGCAGCAGCCTCTGGGCCTGATGTAGAGTGGGATGCCACAACAAACTATGAAAAATTTCTTTCTCCGTCTTCTTCTAGCCGTTCATCTGCTGCTGCAGCTGTCGATACACTGCAGTGGGTAGGTAGCGTCCAGGCGGTGCGGGGGAAGGCATCATACTTTTGTTTATCATCAGAAAGAAATGCTGAAGATTCAATTAGCTTTAATTGGCCTCCTTTCTCTATTCGCAGCAGCAACTCTGCTGATAAAGAAGCAGAGCAGCTTCAAACAGACGGGGGTTGTTCTTCTTCTTCTTTGTCTTTGTCTATGTGTCGGTCTTTCTCTTCTTTAGATATAATAAAAGCAGCAGGTGCATTAACGCATGATGACGGCATTCCTGCTGCTGCTGCTGCTGCAGCAGCAGCAGCAGCAGCTAATGGAAGCCCTCGGGTATTAGAAGGTAAATAAGTACACAAAGCAAGCAAGAAATGTCTTGAGGTGTACGTACAGCTCAGCAAACCACTTTCTTTATTAAATTCGTTTTATTCTTTTGCTCTGCTGCAGAAGCACTTCTAAGAAACGACATGCAGCTTCCTTTCTCCCCCCGTGGGTCTTCATCCTCATCAGCAGCAGCAGCAACAGCAGAAACAGCAGCAGCAGCAACAGCAGCATCAGCAACAGCAGCAGCAGCAGCAAGAAGATCAGGAGGAAGGATGTATAATTTTGAAGCTCTAGATCTTCAGAAAGCTCCAGCACCTTTTCATCTTCGTCGGTGTACAGATAAGTTTTATCTATATTTATTTTGTTTTTGCTGGTCTTGTCTGTTGTGTATATGTTTTACTTCTCTTTTTAATTCACCCTCTCAAAGAATAACTGCAGGCATTGATTATAAAGGAAGAGTTTGCGGCTATGATGAAGAAGTAAAAGCATTTTCTCTGCTCTACTGGCCAGCAAAGCAGCCTCCTAATGAACCTATTGATCACGAGATGCAACCCAATAACGTCCTACCCGTAAACCCTAAACCCTAAACCCTAAACCCTAAACCCTAAACCCTAAAGCTCTTTTAACTCTGGTTAGCTCGAGCTCGGATGTACGAAATATGTAACAAGCAAACAGAAGGCGTATATTTTCTTTTTTGTTTTTATTATTTAATTTATTTTTTCTTTTTTGTTTTAATTATTTAATTTATATTTTCTTTTTTGTTTTTATTATTTAATTTATATTTTCTTTTTTGTTTTTATTATTTAATTTATATTTTCTTTTTTTAGGTTTGTACATCAAAATGTCCGCGCGAATTCAGTCGAAGACGACCGGAGGCGGATTGCGCAGTCGGCGAAAAAAATAAAAATAAAAATAAAAATAAAAATAAAAATAAAAATAAAAATAAAAATATAAAAATAATAAACAAACATCAAGATAAACAAAATATTAACAAAGAAGAGGAAGGAGTTGAACAGAATAAAAACGAAAGCGAAGCAACAAATAAACAAACAATGACAAAAGAAGAAGAAGAAAAAGATATATCAAATACAACAAAAGAAGCAAAAGAAGAAGAAGCAAAAGAAAATAAAGAAGAAGACAAAGCAGCAATAAAAGATAAAGAAGAAGAAGCTCTAGTAAATGAACAAGAAAGAAAAGAAGAAGAAGCAGATAAAGATAAAGATATAGATATGGATAAAGATATAGATAAAGATATAGATAAAGATATAGATATAGATACAGATAAAGATAAAGATAAAGACAAAGATAAAGATAAAGATAAATATACAGAAAAGGATAAAGATAAAGATAAAGATAAAGATAAAGATGAAGAGACATCTTTATGCAATTGGTATAGTAATTCTCCTTCTATTTTATATTTAAATTCTTTTTGTTTATTTAAAGATAATAGCACAGGAAAAGCAAAAGAAAACCCTGCATTTAATTCGTTTGCTCGATTTTTAGCAGATCTCCTCGTGCTTTGGCCGGTCGTAAGCAACAGCTTCTTTATTTAACTTTATTTAACTTTATTTATCTTTCTTTAGCTTTGTTTAGCTGTGTTCATCTTTGTTTATCTTTGTTTAGCTGTGTTTATCTTTCTTTATCTTTCTTTATCTTTTTACTTCTTTATTTATCTGTTTTTGTCGTTCGTTATAGCTCTCTCTCTTTGTTTATCTTTGTTTATCTTTGTTTATCTTTGTTTATCTTTGTTTATCTTTGTTTATCTTTGTTTCTGCTTTATTTATTTATTTGTCGTTCGTTTTTATATCTCTTTATCTTTATTTATCTTCTTCTCTTTATTTTTTTTCTTCTTGTTTTTGTTGTTGTTGCTGCTGTTCTTTTTCTTTTTCTTTTTCTTTCTGTTTCTTCTTCTTTTTCTTCTTTCTTTTCTTTTTCTTTTGCTAATTCTTTTAATGCATCTTTTCTTTCTTCTTCTTCTGCTTCTTTTTCTTTTTCTTTTTCTTTTTCTTTTTCTTTTTCTTCTTCTTCTTCTTCTTCTTCTTCTTCTTCTTCTTCTTCTTCTTCTTCTTCTTCTTCTTCTTCTACTTCTTCTTCTTTGTCTTCTTGTTGTTATTTTTAATATTTTTCTTCTCTGTCTTCTTCTTGCATTTTGTTTTCTTCTTTTTCTTGTAATTGCGTTTGCTGAGAATAATATTTATTGTTTATTGTATTTGTTTTTGTTTGCTTTTATTGTTATTATATTCTTTTAATTAATTTGTTTTTAATTATTTATTGTTTTTATTGTTTGTTTGTTTGCTTCAGGTTATTCTTTGTCCGATATTTTCTTGTTTAATTTCTTTTTGTTTATTTCAATTGCTGCAGCGTTGTGCTGTCTTTGCTGTTTATATTTGTGCTGTTTTGTTTGAACTACTTTTATTTATTTCTTCTTTATATTTCTTTCGTTTATCACGATCACCAGAAGCAAATAATAATACTATATTCTTCTTTATTAATGCATCTTGTATATATAATATATTGGGTGTATTGTTTGCTGCTGCTGCAGCAGTATTCTTGTTGCTGCTGCTGCAGCAGCAGAAGCAACTTGTTCTCAGCAGCGCTCTACTTCAATCTGCTGCAGTTGTGCTGCAGCAAATCCCTAAACGCTTCTTGCTGCTGCTCTCTCTTTCTGCTGCTGCTGCTGTTGCTGGACAGGCAGCTTTTTCTTTCTTTAGTCTCGTGCATCTGGTTGCAGGGGGTAAGAAAGATATCATTTAAGATGGTTTAGGGTTTAGGGTTTAGGGTTTAGGGTTTAGGGTTTAGGGTTTACATAAAAATCAATTTAAAATAAATAAATAAATGCTGCACACAACTGGTGAAGGTTTGCTGTATATAATAATTTTTTGTTCATTACATTTTGTTTTTTATTTATTTTCTTTCGTCTTCTTTTATTTTATTTTATTTTTATTTCGCCTCCTTTGTCTTATTTGTCTATTCTTTATAATTAAACACTCATTCTATTATTATTATTATTATTATTATTATGCTTACTATTATTATTCTTATTATAATTATTATTATTATTATTATTATTATTATTATTATTATTATTATTTTTATTTTTATTATTATTATTATAATACGATATTTCTTACAAATAAAATTATACAACTAACTACAATAAAAACAACGACAATAAAATTAATAATAATAACAACAAAACAATTATAACTACACAAATATTAAAAACAACAACAAATACAACAATAATAACAATAATAATAATAATAATTATTATTATTATTATATTTTTTTTGTTTAGGATACACCCCGTCAGCAGTCGTTGAGCCGTTCATCCGAATTTTTCTGCCTTTTCACCGACGCATGTTTATTTTGTTTTTAAGTTTTTCTTCGCTTTGGACTTGTTTATTTATTATTACTTTCGCTAACTTTGTTGTCGCTCACATCACTGCAGCAATTTACTTCTCAAATAATTGCTATCGTGAGTCTGCGTACACTGCTAATTATATATATATGTCTATAATATGTATATATATATATAGAAGTATATGTATGTATAGAACTATATCAATATATATATACATATATATATATATAGGTAAAGCATAGAAATAGATATATACATACATATATGTATATATCTACGAGCAAGTGTGTATACAAAATATACATATGTATGTATATATATATATAATTATATATTTGTATATAAATATCTATAATTATATATTTGTATATAGACGGCTAAAGGCGATTTTATACAGGAAGCTGCTGCTGTATGTATTTGTATATGCGGATAGTCTTGAAGCTGCAAATAATATATATATATATATATATGTATATTTGTTTATCTATTGCTTTGCTGCAGCAGACGTGCAGACTCAGAAACGAAGAGCGAAGGAAGCGTTTGCTGCTGCTATCCGCTTTCATCTGGGTACTGTTGCTGCTGCGAGTTTGCTGCTGGCAGGTGAGCAGCAGCAGCAGCAGCAGCAACAGCAACAATAGCAGCAGCAGCAGCAATAACAGCAGCACAACATTGCAGCAGCATTAGCAACAGCACAGCACTGCAGCAGCAACAGCGAGGATAGCAACAGCCACACGAGTAGTATCAGCAGCAGCAGCAGTTGAGCAACAACCACTGCAGCAGCAATAGCAGCAGCAGCAATAGCAGCAGCAGCAGCTGCAGCAAGACACGAGCAGCAACAGCAGAATATAACAGCAGATATACAGAACAACAGCAGCAACAAAACAGCAGCAACGAAGGAGGACAGTGCTGCTGCAGATATAAATTTGTTTTATTTGCCTTTGACTTCATACAATCTTATTTTTGTTTTTTATTTTATTTATTTACTAACTTTGTTTATCTCTGCAATCTACATATATATAGATGTATAT